CTAGTACTTCTTCACTTTCATTAATGTGCGCAAACGTTGTGGCCACTCAACGCCCACAACGTAAAAACAAAAGGCACTTGCGAAGAGTACAACCGTGTATTATAGCCGTAGTCGAAATTCGAAATTGTGTCAAGGTAATGTTCAAAAGTAAATTGACAATTTTTGCGAAGTACATGTAAAATCGGTCTGTATACACATATAATAAAAGTAAACAAATTAGATTAAAAAGCATGTTTACAGTTAGTAAAGCGGACTACAGTTTCTACTCCTAGTAAGAGGTCTTTGAATGAGGAGAGTTATGAGTTCTACAAACCTCTTTAAATTTCTTATCGGCTATTCCTATAGGCTTGAAACCGCACTGAAATATTTAAAATGCATCGTCAAACACACGTTGTCTGGAGTTATCCGTGGATAGTAAAATGCAGAAATATAACAATGAGCGTTATTCGATTACGTGTACCCCGTATTCACCTAATTTATTTTGTATACATTCTACCTGGGATTACTGTTACTTCACACCTCACTGTCAATGACTTGTTTATGTGGCAAAAATTAATTATTTATCAAATAATACCTGATCAGTGGGTATTACCGACTAATTCTGTTTCGATTAGGATATTTGTAGGGGACTTAATAGCGAGCTCTGTAACGGAACAAATATTAGAATACAAATCTAAGTCAATGAAATAAAATTGTAACAGTATATTAGTAAAATACAGTTAACGAGTTATGTAAATTAATGGTTACCTGGTGATACAGTTAAAGTCCGCTGCTACAAATTATCAATACATTCCAAAGAAGTGTTCACCACTGGAGTCGTGTATACTAGTAGAAGGTGTTCACCAGTTATAGAATAGTCTTCGTATGAGGATAGTAGGTTCCTGCAAAATCCAAAGGACACAACACGGTTAGTAATGAAGCAAGTAGACAGTATGGACCAGTGAGAAGACGAAGCGTCCAGCAGTACACTGTATTTTAGATTGTACTCCAAAGTTATATGTATTTTACAATGAATGGTTTTAAACAAAATTTATGTGCAATGTTTGCATTTTTAACATCTAACAAAAACTTCACAATCGCATTGTTCCAGACGTCACAGATATACAAAAACTGATAGTTTGAAGTTAATTCCTGGTAGAAGAAATACGAGTTAACAACTCTGTTTTTTCATGGGCACTGTAGTAGCACGGAAAAGAATTTGTTACACTTTGTGTTACATAGTATTCGTGTACTGCCTTGCATTTCTGAGAACATAAGGAGACACGTAAACTTTATACTTTTTTATCAAGAAGCTCAAGTGTTAAACATGTGGTTAATGCCGTGCCTAAGCTTCAGCTCACCATTTCGACCATAAAATTAACCGCATTTGTTACTGTTTGTATCTAAATCCCAGTTGGTACTGCTGTTTTCACTGTATTTACTAGATGCACTAGATATAATTTCGGTAAAATTTCAATTAACACATAAAATTACTCATAAGGTGTTCTGTGTGAAAACAGAAGTATATCTTCTACTTTGAAATTTTTACGTGCACCGGCTTAACGTATCTAGTTACATCATTCATATAAATGAGTTAAAAAGTATTGGGCTTGCTTAGATTACCGTTAAAAAAGAAATCTACCATGAGAATAACAACAGCACAAAACAATGAGATTAAACAAGACGGAATCATAAATAATTACAGTTAAACTACAAAATGACATTTCTAACAAATCGATAGTAAAAATTGACAGTTTAGAGGCTGACGGTATTGACGTTCACGGATAGTACGAAGTATACTTACACAAGATCTAATACCCACAACTTCTATAGTATTCGTTTCGCGTAGACCAAAGGAAAAGCAAAAAGAAAATATTTGATCGTCCAAATTACGAGATATGTTTCGGGACCAAATCGGAGTGCTAGATGATTGCTTAGCTAGCTAGGGATCGTGCACGAACGAACGAATGTGACACTACGGCGTACCAAATGGTGTGAAGGCTTGACCAGAAGCCTTCACCCAAACAAGTTGACTTAAGCAATGAGGGTCAACATCCAATGTTCAGTGATGAATGCTGTGGCAGATAATTTAGGGGAATTATTTACCGCAACAAGAGGATATGCCTTCAGAATGAAATATTTGGATAAGTTTAATTTGTGTTGAGAATAGCTTCAACAGAAATTCAAATAAAATACGTGAAACAAGAAAATTCAAAACAACTGAAGTACTATTAAACTAGAAGTTCAAGGTAATTAATACAACTTATTTAGCTCTACTCAAATGTGTGATTTCCAGTTAATAATTAATACCAAATGACTTCAGTTAAATACATAACAACACTATGTTTTTCTTTTGAACCTACTGAAACACATTTCACTCGTTAAGCTGATGATTTTCAACTATCGCATCAGGTGTATTCATCCTAAGAGAGAAATTGAGACGTTACGGAAGGCATTATTTTAAGACAAACAGTAGAAGACAGTAGACCTATGAATATACTCACTAAATAAGTGTGTCATGCAGCCTTTTAATATAACTTTATAAAATACTAGTAGTTTTACGATGGAATCATTGATATGGATGAATACTGTGTAGAATGTTGCTCCTTACTAAAACAACCAGCTTAGACGATAACTAATCGGTCACAATTTATCTCTTCTTATGTAACTTACTGGCTTACTGTATTCATACAGGTACAGAATGAAGTATTTAGTTCATCCAGTTGCATGTTGAAACATGTGATTATAGACTTGATGGTCATCATAAGTGAGCAAAACATGAGTGGAGTTATAAACCACAATGACTGCTTGGTAGTGATAGATCTGAATTTAATATCATCTAATTATCTTAACTATTTAATATCTTATGAGTGAAAGCGTTTTAAATTATCCTGTTTTCTATATTGTTTGAAGTGAATTCAAGGAGTAACTCAGACGATGAAAACGAATGAAATGTTAACAATTAGTTGATTATAGGGCGAGATGACTCCCGTTGTAAACATTTAGTACAAATGTAACAAAAAGCTGTATATAACATCGGAATTATTTGTTGTCCGCACGATTTGCGGATATCGGTAAAATACGTATAACATATTTCAGAAGTCTAATTTGCACGTGTCACTGGTATTTAGCCATTTTTGTCTGTTGTATTGTACTTCTCTGCCTTCCTTTCAGGTTTTTTGTGTTGTTTACTAAGCATGGTTCATTTCTTCTGTTCTCCATTATAATCCATCCCTCTTCTGTTTTATATTTTTCTAGATTTATATTTATACCTCTGTATATACATACTGCTTATAAATCTTGTTAGTAGCACACGCCATGCAAGTATTTCAATCAGTTCATATGAACTGTGATCAAGATTTGACCGAATAGTTCGAGAATAATTGTTCACCGAGTGAGAAGTAGACATTTATAAAAAAATTATATTTGTAAAATCTCAGCGAAATTGAAATGATTAATTCCAATGTTTCGTCTGGTAATCTGGTCCTAATGCCTTCATAAAAAGTTATTTAAAATGTGCAGATAAGGATGAATCGAAACGTCTGGCTAAGGATTGGGTTAGAACAGCAGTGATTCCTTACAGCAAAGAAACATCGGATGAGGTAAAGCGAATCCTTATCGATCATGACATAAGAGTGTATTTTCGCGCAACTAACACATTACGCTCATCACTGGTGAAGATTAGGGATAAAATAGAAGAAGAAAACCAACAGGATTGTGTGTACCAGATCAATTTTGGGGAATGTGACACGTTTATGTAGCAGAAACTTCCAGACAGGTGGATACAAGAGTGAAGGAGCATAAACAGTGTCTAAATGTGGTTCCAAAGACCTCTGGAGACTTAAGGAAGTTAGAAAACAGATCAGCGATTGCACTGCATTCGATAGAAATGGGACACAAAATCAACTTGATAAGACTAAGGTACTACAGAAAGGTTTTGGTTCGTATAAACAAAGACTTACTGCAGAAGCCCTGCATATTTGAGTGAATCCTAACAGTTTGAACAGACATGAAGGTGTGATGTTAGCTGATGCATGTTGAATCCTGATTAATAAATAAAAAATGGTCGAAATTCTTTTTATGGAGAGGCTAGCAAATGTTTTATGACTGTTTACTCACGCACACATACACACAAACCATTGTTTAGTGTATATACACACATATATTTTCATATTTAGCTATCTACGACGATAAACTTTTAGTTTAACGTAATCTGATGAAAAGTAGACTATGTTTAAATTATTTAACAAACCTGAATCGGTAGAAATTAGAATTCATAAGCCATTGAATCAGGTCCCAGTGGCTGAATGGTATACAAGCTTGCCTTGTAACCGGAAGGTCCTGGGTTCGAACTCCACTGGGTGCTTACTGCCGATGATTCCCAAACTAGGATGAAACAGCTTTCCAGTACTCCCTGGTTTTCAATGGTTCTCTAATTGATATCAATCCTTGGTCTACTCGTAATAACAAAAGTAGACTAATTTTGAAAATCTGTTGCCAAATTTTGATCACAGTTCATACAGTTTTTTATATTATTAATGTTGATACCTGTTTCATGACTCATATGACTGGACAAAGTTTCTAGAAACAAGAGATGTCTTTTTGTATATAAACCTCTGTTAACTTCAATTAATTTCCTTGAAGAATCTCGGACCAGATTGCCGAACGAAACGTTGGAATTAATCGTTTCACTTTCGCTGAGATTTTACAAATATAATTATTTACAAATATTTCAATCAGTTTTTTTCGAAATATAAAACCATCTGTAGACATTGATTCGATTACAAAAGAACCTGTCATTTGAAATCTGTCATCATAAATAAACAGATATTAAGCTGACATCCTTCGATGTCGTCGATAATAACATGTGAATGAGTGCCATCGATCTGCTTTTATCTTCTCACATATGGGGAAATAGATCAAATTTCAAATTACGCCCATTTACGGTTATACGCATATATATATATATATATATATATATATATATATATATAGTGTGTGTGTGGATAAGACTTGCCGTCCCACTAAATACTCCATTTTATTTCAAATCATACTAAATTTATCAATAAGATTAAATATTAGCGAAACATGGACGAAAACTCAAAAATTGTAAGTGATTTGTAACTTTTCATTATGATAGAGAATTATGGTTTTCGCTAGAGAAGGGTAGTCATGATTTCACTTTCTGAGTTTATGGATGTTTAACAGTACCTAGTGTAAATGTTATATCATACCTCCGTGTTTACTAAGTACAGTTTGACAGTGCAGATGAAATCTGATCAAGAAGATCATTATTATTTCATGAAACTCTGATCCATTTAGATGATCTTGAGAATTAATCGTAATGAGGTTGTTGGATCCCTGATGAAAATCGGATCCACTATATCATTATTACCGATACCATCTGGTGATTTTTTGAAAATTTTCTTAGCCTTATTTGAAAAAAGATAGATAAAACTGTTTTCCATTAATATCATACTCAGTATTTAAACAGTGGTCCCACGTATGAAAGGCCTTATGTTGATGATTGGTTTAAGAACTTAACTTTCAGTCACTGGGTCCCATGGTTGAAATCTCCTTCCATATACTTCAGCCTGAGCAACTGCATGCTATCATCAGCTCTCATACAATAAGTTAGATTCCAATCCTGGTATAAGAAAGATTTATTTCAGGTGATTGAGGTGAAGCGAACAAATCAATTCACTTACTCTTTCATGATAAGGTTTCTAATATGTAAATGGTTATTTCTGACATAAACATGTTAACTGTTCTAGAGTACTAAATGTGATTCGATTATAACAGTGTAGTACATCCTTGTTTTCACGTTCTAGGGTGTGCCAACGCTGTATGCGACTAAATATCAAAAAACTTTGTATCAAAAGAGGGAAGTGAAAACTTGAAAAGATGTATTGGTAATTGTCAAAATCACGTTTTGAAGGGCTCTAGGAGAACATGTGTGAAACCGCACCAAATACATATAAATATATATATATATATATAACAAGCGAAAATCAAAGCTTAACAATATATTGGCAATCATTCAACACGCACATGTAAAATTAGTTAATGTAAAATTATAATATAGGTAGATGAATTAGTTTCATAATCATACAGTTAGAATTTATATGGAAGTGCTACACTGCTAGTCTGTAAGAAACAAAGAGTTTCTTTTATTCTGCTGTAAAATCAGGTGTTTTTGAGAATCCCTTAAATGTTAAAATTTACCTAAAAAGTATCCAGTAATTTCATGTCAGTTTACTACTCGTCATCATACCACACGGTGCTGTGGGGTCATTTATTTTGATAAGTTACCGAAATAATTTACTATTTATAGCATATTTCTGGTTATTAGTTTCTTCACTGACATAAACAAGAATCGAATATTTCTAATAAGGCTATCAGATTTCAAGTTCCCACTGACAAATAATATAAAAGGTAATTGTAGAAATAAGAGAGGTAAGAATAAATCCACAGAAAAGGTGTATAGGATGATTGATGAATTAACGACGTACTGACAAACAGTATCAAGTAAAGAAATCAATAAACCAAAATAGTTTAATGTAGTAAATACTATACAATACCTGTAACCTATAGAAACAGTTTAAAAATTTGGAGCATAGGGAACGGATGAGATTTCGCTTCCTGTCTAGAGGTACCCAACTGTTGAATTCAGTGTACTGCCATTGATAAAGTTGGCTTTCGGTAAATCGACCATTTTAGTGTGCCATACTCCCTGCTATCTAGCATAAAGTCTAAGAAGTGAAATGCGGAATTAGAAGAAGGGCTAGAATTTCCCAGTACACTAACTTCAACAGTTGAGCACCTACAGGTAGGAAAAGAAATCTTAGCCTTTCTCTATGCTGCTGAATTTGGGAAATCTGCCCTATAGATACAGTCGATATAGAACTCGAAAACCGTTTTAAGACTCTCTTAATTGTTAAAGCTTACTAAAAGTTGTAAAATAAACACTACCTGTTCCTTAAAGTATTGACATTTGAGGAGAAAGACTGCTTATTTTCTTCTAATTTAGAAGTAGGCGTTAAACATCACTTAAAACCAGCATTATAAATCAATCAATGTGAGTGAATATATTACTAGATTATTGAAAAGAAAGGGAGCAGGATTCTTTCCATACCGATAAGAGCGGAATGAATTTTGATTAAATAATAAAATAGACAATTCAGAGGGGAAAATTGACGAAGCCATCTACAAAGGCAGTTCAGTAATATATATATATATTTGTGGTGGTGTGATACAGACAATGTGTATCAACGGAACATTATTCTCACATATTCCCACAGTTCAATTCGGCATTAGCAAAAGAATACAGTATATCTGTTTGAAGATTCTGTTTGATGTTAGAGGCAGATTACTTTTTCAACAGTTCATTACTGCATTACCAACAGAATACTATGTATATTTGAACATTCTATTTCATATCGTCTGATGTAAACCGAAATTATACACTCAGTGTTTGGTTAAAGAATATAAACTGTAGATATACAAACAGCGGTTTGATCAATGAAAAACATATTTTGGCTTTCGTGCCTTGCCTTCTTTTGTTACATATTTACTAAGATATGTAGCAGTCAATTATTAAACAATACGGGTCTGTGACTTAAATTGGATACAAATACTCTGCTGTGGTTTCTGAAGATAAAGGGAATCTGTGTGATAGTTACTAACATGAGAGCAGTAAGAGTCTGAAATTAGAAAAGTTGAAGATTGTTGTTAGATGAGAAGCAAGGTAGTTGAGTGTCCACTTGACAATTGTGAAGGTGACATGAAAAGCACTAGTAAAACGCACGAAAGGGAGCATGTAGGCGTGATAATAACTGATTACCTACTAAAAATAGAAGCAACAAGTAGAAACGGGTTTAAAAGCACAGTATAATCAGAGATTAGAACTATATAAATTATATATATATAAATTAGAATTGTACAACTCCTGTAGGTGACTTCGTTGATAGAAGGACTTTTCTTCGATGAGTTGTCTTCTGTTCCTTTCATTACTCAATGTGTATTCCTGGTCTTCTAAACGATAAAAGAACACATGCAGCTTCTCACATTCTCTAACTTCACTTGTCGAAAATTCTTTTCAGTATAAACTAAATGTGAAATTATAAATGGTCGGTACTGAGGTCATTAGGATTATATAAAATAACGTGTCACCCAATGCTCTCTGGCTGACAATCAGCCAACATTGCGTAACTGATGAATAAACGTGATTAGTGAATTTCAGAAATGTTGTTAGGTGCAAAATGTTTACGAAATTCACTTGAATTTGCTATTCAAGTGAAATAATTCTTATATGTGAAGTTAGGCCTTATTTTGAGCCAAAGGCTTATTCAGAGAATTCTTATGTTAAATAAAATTTGCTTGATATTTCATGGGTTATACAGTCATTCGGATATCTTCGAAAAAAAAAACTGACTACTAATGTACTGCTGATTGACTCACATAATTAGTTGGATACCACTCACATCAAACAGTAGTGCTTGATAGCCAGATCGATATGGTTTAAACACCAGGCATCTATTTCACTCGTTCGTTCCATAAATAATTTTGATTTCCAGGGGAAATGTGTTGATATGTTCTCGAACTGTGTAAAATATAATTCGTGAGATGGTTTGCAAAATGGTAAATTATGCCCTAGGTAATTTATTATATATCTGAGTAGTTTTCTCCGTCAGTAAACTTGCTGTGATACTCTTCGCTTATTATTATTATTATTAATGGCATACTTCAAAGTAATTTTGTTCAGAGTATGGAATTTTAAGGGAAGGCCACGATAAATCTATTCGCATGAATGAAAATGTTTATTAATTTGTAGTGATAGTGACAACCACAGATTTGCTGAAGAGTGAAATGGATTACGAATTTCTCCTATAAGTCCTATCAAAAATATGTGTAACTTGAATGCATCTGTCATATCGATAAAGACTGCTCCTTTCATTCTCTTTCCATCTTTTGTGCCTGTCTTTTAACCACTTATGTCGTTACGTAATAAATCGTTGAAATCAACGAACAGTATCTTGTAGCTGTTCCATTACCAATTCAAATCAGAAAAAAGTCTTTGTTTTCTTTACTTTCTGAATTATTTTCGAAGCAATACAAAATTAAATATCAATAATAATTTATGCTTGAACTGATTGGATAAATAAAAAAGAATTTTCAAGTATTGGTTTTGTAGGGATTTTGTTTGATTGCATGGAGGATTTAATCATGAGCTGACATCAGTTAGAGAACCACTGGAAAACCTGGGAGTACTGGACATCTGTTTCGTCAGCCTAGTTTGGGACTCTTCAGCACTACGCACCCATCGGGATTCGAACCCAGGACCTTCTGGTTACAAGGCGAGCACGTAGACCATTGAGCCACTGATTCCCGATCCAATGGTCCTTGAATTCTAACTTCTGACAGTTCACGACATAGCGCGACCACTTCGCAATGTCTTCTTCGATGAGTTACTGCCTCATCTTCAACCTGCTGTACCCTACTGGTCACGGCTTCCCACTAGAACCCCAGGTTAACTGCCTGAATAGGGCCAGGTTTTCCAGTGGTTCTCTAACTGATGTCAGCTCATGATTAAATCCTCCATGCAGTCAAAAAAGAATTTGTTTGAATGACTTATTTTAGTGTGTACTAACAAATGAATGTAGAAAATTCAAATCGAACAAATTTTAAATGCATTAATTTATTAGCTGATCATTTTGATTACTCACGAAATAATATTGGGAATATGGAATCATCAAAACCGCGGGAGCATAATGGTGAATGTCTAGGGATAGCTGATGTGTAATAATGCATCCATAATGTACACCTTCTTGTTTTCTTTATTACTGAATTAATTGTGTTCTTTGAGCTGGTCAGTTTAATTGCGATGCTTTCATTGTTCTTCTAGACAACATCTTTAACTCACATTTCAGTATAGAATGAACTCATTCAAACCCTCCATGAATGATGTGATAATGGTCACTAGGAGGTAGAGTTACATCATTCATGGATAATTTAAATGAGTTCATTTTATACTAAAACCTGATCTGAAGATGTTGTTTAGAAGGGTGACGAAAGCTTCGCAATTATATCAACCAGCTCAGATAACACCACTAATTCAGTATCATCAATTTTATCTAAAAATCGTCTCCATTATTTCCTTTTTGATGCTTTGATTACATTACAAACAGAACATATTGAGAAAGTTCGATTTAAGCTAATTATTTTTGATGTTTTCGTCAACAAAAGTGCCTAATGTGATACATATTTTGAAATTAAACTTTTTCACTAGTGTATGTTGTGTATGTGCGTCGTCGCATTTCATAGACACATCTGAGTATAAGAGCTAGTGAATACATAACAGTCTACTTAAATTCAAAGTTGTGCAACATGCAACTGAGGTATTGAAACAATCAAGACTGATGCGGGTAAATCTAATGTTTATTGCGATGATTACTTAAAAAATAATAAACTTTGCAACGGTTTCATAAATCTGCAGATGTAGAAAAACCGAAAAGTTGGGCGAGTAAATATATTCCTTATCCTCAGCAATGTCAGTGGCTTAGCGGTAGAATGCTCTCCAACTATGCCACACGTGATCCAGGGTGCGATACTCAGCCGACGTACTTCTTTACATCGTAAAGCTGGTGATAAGGCTGTTAAAGAGTGAAGGTTGGGTATGAGGCTGGCAACCCCACTCCGTAAAAATGGACACCAATGCTACCAAAACTTCAAGCGCCTAGCTTGAAGCCCTACGTTCCGCTAGGAACGTAAATGAATAAAATAAAAAATAATAATTAATAACATCGGCGCTACACTAATTTGCAGTTTTTTACATCAAAATTTTGCCAATCATGGGGTTACTTTAGTCTATAAGAGTTATCAGTTTTAGGTATAGCGGAGTGAAAATAAGAGGTTAAAGGTCATCAAAACAATCAACTAGCAAATGTTAGCGATAGGATATTTAAATTTTGAGGGAAAGGTTAGAATAATTATGGAATTCAGGACCAGTTAATTCGTAGGGTTTAGCAAAAAGTTGTTGCATAATTTACAAATAGTATGAACCCTTCTACTTTATTAGGAGTACTTCGCTCTCCATTGTTTGTCATTCATTAGATAGTAGTCAGAAGTACAGTTGCCCTTTGGTGTTTCTTCTACATGGACTTTCCATAGGCTCCTGTTTGTGTATCGCTATTATCTGTTTATGAGTAGGACACAGCACAGTTCTACTTGATTTACGGGTCCTGAGAAAAATGAGGCCACAACTGAAACAGAAAATTACATTTTGGGTACACAGTTGGTTGTAACATCTAGAAAGCTATGCAAGTTCAAATTCTGTTTTATGGAATACTGTGTGATTGGTTTATACACCTGTTGATTATTTACAGGTCACCACTTGTTTTATTTTAAGGTAGAAGTGAATTTTACTATTCAGATTTTCTTGTTGTCTGTCGAATCCCAAGTTTTTATTGTTAGAGTTTCATCACAAACCGACATCACTTATAGAGATCACTGAAAAACAGGAAGCGGTGAACAACTTTTTCCCTATATTTAGGAACTCTTCAACAGTGTGCACCTGCGTCCCCGTCAGGGATCGAACCTGGGACTTTCAGATTAAGAGGAAAGGACCACCTATCATTCAGCCATTTGGTCCAGGATTCAATGATCCTTGAGTTCTTACTTGGTTATCTCATGATACAGAGCTGCTTTCACCAATATCTAAGATGAACATCTACTTCATCATGAAATGATGGACCCAAATAGTCGTGACTATTCACTGCAGATTTAGGAAATCCATTCAGTAACCATTAATGAGTTCGTGATTGACATTTAGATTATATGATTGGTTATTAATTGCTAAAGTTCACACGTGACAAACGGACTGCATTACAGATTATGATGAATGCTTAATAAACATCATGATAAAGGAATAGACAGATTTGTCAAAATACCATTCTAGAGTAGCATTCTGAGGCGTGAAAATATTTTCTTAACCGCATAATATTTTAAACCAAAGTATCACCTTAGTTAGTGAATGCATCAACTTATTGTACAAGCTTGTGTTTCTAATTTTATAGATTAATGAGGAAGTCATCAACAAGGAAACTCAAAATAAACATGTCAGAGTTGACGAGACAAATACTCACCAGCAGATCGACCGAAACCAGTGGCGATCAGATAACAATAATAATAATAATATTAATAACAATGAATCAGAGAAACTGAAGTCGTTTTTAAAACAAATGTTAGGCTTAGATCCAAATGTAGCAACAACACGTCCTGTACTCACTGAAGAACAACAAATGCGGTAAGTATAATGTATCTATTTTTTTTTTCAAAGTACTATTAATATAAACTAATAATTTTTCCTTTTTTCTTCAAAATATTTAGATTATCTTCTGTCACTTTAGAAATGTTAATGGAACGTGAAGAAATTGATATACACCCGTATGGAAGAGGTGGAATTTATGAAGGCATATTATACAAAAGTAGAGCAGAAGAACAAATGGATTTTACAGCTGCATTTGTTTGGTTCATTTTTGTCAGTTCAGTTATTATGATGTCTGGATCAATTGTTTTTGTATCAGGTAAGTTGGTTGTATGTTTTGAATTTTTAAAGCAAGCTGACCGAAAGTGAATACATTAAAGTTGCTTTTTTAGCTATCCGATTTTGCTACAACTCATGATCCGTAGAACTCGCAGGTAGCTGAATACATCTATATTGTCGTTAAGCAAAAACCTTTGTAATTTTTGAGTAAGCATATAAGCTATAGCTAGACGAACTTGCCGCGCTTTTGTTTCAGTATACTTGGATAGAGAGTAAAGAGGCGATTTATTACAATTTGAATTTCCACAGGTTGTTGGTTTTATAGGATTTTAGAAAACAGATAGATTGAGCGAAGAAATATTTGCTTTCCTATTAGATCCTCATCTCTGGGTCTGCCCTAATATATATATATATATATATATATATAAAATATTTATTATTATTATTGTATCCTTTAGTTCCTAGAGGAACATAGGGCTTCAGCTGCGCACCTCCATTGACTTCGGTTTTCTGACAACTTTTTCACCCTGCCAGGTCTGTCCACATGCCTTCATCTCTTCCTCGCATGACCTCATCCTCACAATCGGTTCCTGATTGGTTCGCTCCCGGATCCCTGTTGCTGATCTTTTCTGGCCATCTGATCTTGAGTATTGAGCGGAGACAGTTGTTAATGATATATATATATAAATATAGCATTTTAATTACAATACAACAGTTTGCCAATCAAGTGGCGATAAGTTTGTTAACAATAATTAAACAGTGTCAATGGGTTAATAATTAACGAAGAAAAGCAATAAAGATTTAAAAGGTAGAAATGGATAGAATAAATTAATTTTACAAGGATAACACGTAAATTAAAGATGAAGTGGTCAAAATAAATAAAAATGAAATAAATAATTTAGACAAATATAATTTGTATAGGTTTAGGGGGAGGGGGGGCGATGTAGTCCTGTTTATGCATTCTTGTGATGATGGCCACGGTAGGGAAAGTGGCTGTACAAATTTTTTCTGTACACATAGGCATGGCTTCTTCAGGTGAATTCCGATTGCTTCAGCCGTCTGTAGAAGAATTTTGTATTACCTGTTTAGTGGAATGCTTTAATCATATACGATGTTGCGTTTGGCTGTTCTAAAGGTGTTTCATCAACTCTTTTTTACACAGTTTGAATACCTGTTGTGCCGTTTGATATATATTATGAGCGAAAACACTTTACCACAGCTTTTATACTCACGCGTTAGTTTTGTGTGGAAAGTTTTGAATTCATGAAAAATTCCTATCCAAACATTAATTAAACAAGATAGGTAGTTCAGCGAAGAAGCTCTTTTCGGCGAATTCATTTTCTTGAGCTGTACAATCACACTTACACACAACTTTCCATGAAAGAGGGTAGTTAACAAAAGTGATGAGTTGTCATAAACACAGTTGTTGATATTGGTCAATGCACAAAAGGAGTTGAATAGGAGTTTCGCAATGAGATGAAAAATTTAATGAATGAGTAGTAATTAGGCCGCACATAGAAACGACTGAAAATTAAAGATTATGTAAGAGCTCTAAAGAAATACAAGCGTTATAAAAAGTTAGAAAAAGAAACAAATGAAAATTAAGTCAGTAGAAATCAACACGGTTGTTACCATGATAGTAGAATCGGGTGAATAGTTTTCTTTTGTTTTTCTAACTGAATGGCTGAAACTTAAGGAATGCAAAGGAGACAAAAGCGTATTGCCTTTGACAGGTTGTTCTTCACTTTGTAGATTGCATTGAAGGAGGCGTTCGTTGAGACGGAATGACCAGTGTTAACAAGGTGTTTGACTATACAGCCACGGCTGCCTTTCTGAAACCATATGGGATAGTGTTCCTGGACACTTTTAGGCAGTATACGCGTCGATCGATCAATGCAGTGGCCTCACACCAAAAGGTCAGTGGTGGTCAGAAGTGGTCAAGTGAGAGACATTGTCTTTTGGGCTTCTGCAGACCAGTGGGAGACTAACTAACACTACTCTTACATTTGCTGTGAAGAAAAAAAGTCGAAATTCTCCTCTTAAGGACACCACCGAGTAGGTCACCGTAGAGGTCAAGGTCTATATATAGTTTCTTTTTTAACACAGGTGACGTCTCTTGTCTTTAAATTTCCGGCTTGATTTTCTTGTCAATAAATCTTGGTTGATACTCATTTTGCATGAAGATTTCTTTCCAAAAGTGTAATTCTTCTTCCAGAGCCTCAGTTCTATGAAGATGCGTTGGACGCGAGTAGCAAGAGATATAATTAGGTTTTATTTACGACTAATTGGTACCCCGTTGAAGAAAATAGTCAGCTGGCCGCTCCGTGATTTTACTGGAACACAAGTTATAATATCTGATTTGAAGTTGTTACCCTATGAACTACTTACAAATATCACATATTACACCACGTATAATAAATATTCAAAAATATTCTCCATTTATAAATGAATATGAGTCAGGCAGACATAATTTGTCTAGTGAAGTTTACTCGATCTTACTTCTAAAATGTTACTGAAATCAATCAGTGTTTTGGTTAGAGGAAGACTCATCTAGAAGTTTCTAGAAAATCCAGAAAAATCCATCTTCATTATTGTCATCTGAATGTCTAAAGATTTTATTAAGCGAACTTGTTCCCTAGTTTCAAATTACATACTCATAAAACCAGTGACTTGAGAATTTACACTTTCAACGGTTTAATCTGACACCAACGGGTAAAGCAGAGCCATATTTGATTCAAACAAAAGTTGATCAGTTTATGTAATTACTTTTTATATTTTTGAATAGCTATCGTGTACAAATTTATAACATATTCATATTATGATGCATTACTGAAACGATGAAATAATGACAGGGTGATATTGGTAACATCAGAAAAATATATTTTGAATTTGTATACATAGATTAGTCCAATTACATTCATTGGAAAACTCCGTCTACACAAGATTTATTGAGACTTCAGGTTGAAGATTAAAATTAGGATAAGATCATTGCATCATGAAACCAAATGATAAAATATCTACAGAAATGTCTGTACATCAGATCAGTCGACAGAATGACATGCGATAATAACAAGTCTTACCTCACAATGTTAGATCCAACAGCAATACAGATATCGGGCTTGGAATGCTAAACAAGAGAGGAACATAATGTTTTATATGGGCAGGCACTATGTTACACTTGCTTAAATCTAATTCAGGTTACGGGATTTTCATAGATTTGAACTAATTTAATTTGAATTGTGCAATTTCGTCACGGACCAATATCAGTCAGCGATCATAATTATTCAGAGTGAAAGTAAAGTCACTGATGAAGAGTCCCAAACTAGGCTGACGAAACAAATGTCCAGTACTCCCAGGTTTTTCAGTGGATCTTTAACTGACATCAGCTCATGATGGAATCCTCCAAAAACTCAAACCAAATCTATACAAAACAAATACTTGAAAACTGATATGTCCTATTCAGGCCGTTACCCTAAGCTTCTAGTGGGAAGTAGGGTACTGGAGGTCGTAGTTGAGAACAGTTACTCACTGAAGAAGACATTGCGAAGTGGTCTCGCTATGTCATGAGTTGGCAAGAGCTGGAATTCATGGCCTGGCCAATGAATTGGGTCCCAGTGGCTCGCTAGCCTTGTAACCAGAAGGTCCTGGCTTTGAACCCTGGATGCGTACTGACGAAGAGTTCCAAACTAGGACGACATAGCTATCTAGTACTGCAAGGTTTTCCGGTGTTCTCTAGCCAAAGTTAGCTCATGATGAAATCCGACAACCAAATCAGATGAAAATCCCACAAAACCAATACTTGAAAATCACTTCATATTTGTCTGCTTCATATATTAGTTTATAAATATCATTATGTTGTCTATCAATGTTCTTTTATTTTTATAGAACTTTATCATTTTCTACAATCTGAAACTACGAACGATGATCGGCAAGCGTCTTGTGACTTCTTTAAAAACTGTGGTAAATCAAAATCATTTCAGTGAATAAAGGTCATTTCAAATGAACCGTGTTTTTCAACACTATGAAGGAAGTGTAACTTTCTTTTTACTTTGCAACAAAGCATCTATCAAATAATGTAGTTTGAACTGTTAATGAGCTTTTTTAATAATAATATTTGTTTCTCAAAGTTTTGTTCTTAATTAGTATTGAGTTCATGGATTAATAAACGGTGATGTTATATACTACTGATTGATTGAATTGAGTAGTTGGACAACCTAGTCTAAATTATGTAAACACCGATGGACCGTTTTGCTAGTTTAGGGTTGAGCTCATCAACGGTGAATTTGTTTTGACTCAGCTTTGAGAACCAAACTAGCTCAAATCACCCAAATTTTGTTTGTCGTTAGTAAAAAGTAGAGTGCTCGCTAACCACTCACGTGGTTCCGGAGTCGATACTCGGCCAACGCACTCCTAAACCTTGCTAAGCTGGCAATAAGTTCAGGAAAGGGGAAGGTTGGACGTTAGCCTGGCAATCTCTCTCTGTAAAATAAAAAATAAAAAACCACTACTACAGAAACTTCATGACTCAAACTTGAAACCGTAAGTTCCCCTCAGAACGCAGTGGTGTAAAATAAAATAAATAATAACTTCGCAGAACTAGTAATACATTGGACTAAGTCCACAATTTGTAAATTATTTCATTACTTGAAATCTACACAGTTCGACGTTGAAGCTCATCATGGATTCCTATGAAAACATCAAACATTCAGATCACAAGTTGTGATCTGCTTGATGCCATCAAAATGGCGATAAAGAAACTCGATTTGTGTAATTCGCTATCTGCAAACGTAATCCAATTTGTTACTGTTTTACCCATCTTCCAGTAGGAATCAGGTGGTTCGAGCTGATTCGGTTCTCTGGAGTGGGCTACATCAGATACACCGCCGATGAGTACAATCCAAATAGGTAAAATGGACGTCCAGTGGTTAGATCACTTCGATTTGGCTACCAAACACCACTACTACTACTCATCTTAATGAATCAATAGTTTATACAACCATAAATTTATGCTTAACTTATTGATTGTTACATATAGAAAATCAAGTATATCGCATAGTGTGATTTGAATCATTCTGGTTTTCAAAGGAAACTGTAGTGAAATTTCATCTCAAAATGTATAAATTTCAAGTGCCAAATAAATTTAACCTCGTCTAGTTTACCAGCTCCCTAGTTTTCTAGCTGGTCCCAAGATTCCCTATGCGTAAACGGGAAGCCTCTAAACATACGACTGCAACTCAAGGGCAATATAGCCAGCGAAATAATTACAGGAAAGTTAAGAAAATTAATTCAAAGATCTTTTAATGCTGAAAAATACAAGTCATATTTTCTACACCACCGGTGATGATTCCTCGATTGAAAGATGAACTACCTAGACTATCCACTTCCAATTGTATCTACCAATTCAATTGTGCTTATGGAGCGAGTTATATCGGCCGTTGCTCTGGGAACTTGATTTATCGTGTTCGGGAACATTAAGCAGTGTGGTTAAATAAAGGTGTAGTTAGAAGCATCGGTATTCGACACTAGAACACCAAGACCAAACAGGCCACGAAGCTAATACTGAAGAGTCCTTCTTCATGATCTATCGGGTACCAAACAATTTTCCAAAAACATCCAAGTACTGCATACTCCAAACATTAGAAGGTATCGCGATTCAACTGAAACAACCAGTGCTCTGTACGCAGAAGAAGCAAATCCAGCCACTACTACCGCCATGACCGGCCTTCAGTGAAGACTATAAATTCATGAATTTGTATTATGATTTTTCTTAATTTCCCTGTCTGATATTCAGTGTAATGTTATGTTGATGCTATTGAAATTTAATCCATTGATATTATTATGATTTATTCGATGTTGTTTAAACAATATTAATGCTGTTAATAAGACTAATTCACTCTTTCACTATTATGCATGTATAACTGCAGGACCTGATGAAGAACAGGTTATCGACAAGAATATTCTTTGTTCAGTAATCATTCTTTTGAAAATTGTAATGGGGATTTTTAATCCATTTAATATAATTCTACTGTATTTAAAAATGCAAAACATTTCAATGAACCACTGTACAGGAAAACAAATCATATCTATACTTTTGTAACCACATTAAAATTTGGCTGGGTCAGAGCACAACGAACCGTTCTGATTGGTCGATGATTGGGACGAAAAGTCTCCCAATTAGTTAACTTCATGTCCATAACGTTAGCCAGACCCAAGTTTGAGGGATAAACACTTTCACCTCTGCAGTTATTGACTTAAAATGTTGATCTTAATTACTGGCAGCTTTCTATCAGTTTGCATCAGTATACTACTTACAAATCTTGTCAGTAGCACACGTTACACTACTACATAAAATGAAGTGAATATCTATTCATACTGATTAAATATAATTAGTCATATTGTGGTGGTGTGATACAGACAGTGTGTGCCAACGGCATATGATTCTCAAAGTTCAATACTGCATTAGCAACAAAATACTATATACATATATTTGAACATTCTCTTTCATGTCGTTTGTTGTAAGCCGAAATCCCGCGCTCATTGCTTGGCTAACGAATATGAACTGTAGATATATAAACAGCGGTTTGATCAATGGAAAATATACCTTGCCCTCCATATATCGCATTCTGTTGTCACAATATTATATTCCTTTTATTGTTTATTGTCTTTTGTGATTTTTTCTCGTTCATTTTTAATTATGATTTGAACGTGTAAATAATTTCTCCATAATTACTGAAGAAGTACATTATTAAGAATTTCAAGCGCATGAAGTTTATTTTAAATTGTGCACAATTTACAAAGAAAACAGAAGACTGAAGGTGATCAGCAGGGAAACTGTAACATAGATTTTGTTCCCCTCGACATTTATCAACAAGGCGTACCTGCAAGCTTTAAGGAACTGATATGTTCATGGAGATTCGAAATCGTGTCACCCAGAGCTGAAGTCAGAGATGTAACTACTGAGCTATTCTAGCTCGTAAAGAAGAGATGAACTAAAGAACTTTAAACTTTCTAGTTTATCTTCTCATATCATAAGCATGAAAGATTTGGAGTCGCAAAATATAAAAAGCTGGATGAATATTTCAAATTCTATTCTGATTACCCAATAAACTTAAAGGCTTCAGTAGCTAAAACTTATGAAACAGCAAAATTGGTATACAAAATGGGATCTTCAAAGTAAATAAGACGAACCTAAGCTAAAAAAAGTCTATAAAAGGATGACTTCTAATAAAAAATCTAGGAGAATATGCAGGAGAGAAAAGAAAAATGAAGCGAAAAAGTAAAAATACTATGGTTTGTCAATAACACCACTTTAAAAGAGTTGCAGTACCCATAAGCCGACTGTAAACATGCTTTTTAATCAAATTTGTATACTTGTATTATATGTGTACACAGACCGGTTTTATATGTACTTCGCAAACATTTGTCAATTTACTGTTAAACATTACCTTGACACAATTTTGAAATTTGACCACGGCTATAATACACGATCATACTCTTCACAAGTGCCTTTTGGTTTCACGTTGTGGGCGCCGAGTAGCCACAACGTCTATGCACATTGATAAACGTGAAGAAGTACTAGAATATACGTGTACACTGATTTAGTCAGATGACGCACGCAACAAATTGATGAGCCCGACGACAACTTGTTCCCCCGACGCATCATAACACTTGCTGGAATAATAAAACTCTTACTTTCTGGGATCTCTATCTCTCTGTCTCTTTCTCTCTGTCTCTCTCTCTATATATATATATATATATATATATATATATATATATATAATAGATATTTCGAACTCATTGTTGTGCTTTCTCATCGCATATTGTTTAGTAATCTGTGGTAAGCATCTGTATTGAATATTTTTCTGTTTTGACGTATCCTTAGTGGGCATAAGTTTTGCTATTTTGTTACTCTTAAACCATTTTTCTACGAATTGTAACATGTCTCCCAATACCTCTCATAACTTAGAGCTGGGATCTGTTAGTACTATTTCTCTTACTGTACCAGATTTTAAGCCCAGAGACCCCATCTTTGGTTTGCACGACTGGAACATTATTTCACTGCCAATAAGTTCACGTCACAGACGACTAAATTCGGCATTTTGAGTACAGACGAAGTCGACGAGCAGGTACGACAGTACATCGTTCAACCCAGCACAGCAGCGCCCTACGACAAGTTGAAGGAAGAGGTACTTCGATGCACTTCGCTTTCGGATAGGCAAACACTCGATCGTGTGTTGTGCAATGTAGAGCTAGGTGATAAAACCCCATCGCAACTCATGAGGCAAATGCAAAGCCTAGTAGCAGGAAGAGAAACCGATAAACGTCTATTTTACCAAATCTGGCTGCGACGACTTCCTGCACACATTCAGCAAGTTCTTGCTTTCGGAGACGACGACATTGACATGGAAAAGCTCGCCAAAATCATGGATCGCATGTATCAGAGGTCACCACCTCAATCTGTTGCTTCCACTGGCAGAATACCAGACACTCACGATAGGATACAGACTCTAGAACACAAAGTCGACGCCTGACTGAGTCAGTTAGCAGCACTGACCACACGCACACGACCAAGCCGTTCTAGAAGCTAGTCATGTCGACGTGTTTCCCGGTCACCTAGTACGTCACGACATCACGATAATATTTGCTGGTACCACCGTAGTTACGGAAGCAATGCACGACGGTGTCGTTCACCTTGCAACTTTCAAGCTAAACCGAAAGATATATCGTCATGTATGAAAACTTCTACTGTCGGAAATCTACGATCTAGCAGTCGCTGGTTTTATGTGACAGATAGAAATACCGGTACTACATTCTTAGTCGACACGTGAGCAGAGGTTAGTGTTCTCCCTCCGTCTACGCAGGAACGTCAACATCCTGACCCTGCAGTTACGCTCCAAGCCGTTAATAAGTCTAATATTGTTACATATGGAAGTAAACGAATGACTGACTTTGGTCTGCAGAATACCTACACTTGGTCTTTCATCATTGCAGACGTTCCATCCCCAATCCTCGGTATCGATTTTCTACAGCAACACAAACTGCTAGTTGATCCGATAAGCCCTAAGCTTATAGACTC